TAAATATTCACAATTCAAATTAAGCTGTTAAAAAGCAACAAACTTTAAACTTTATTTAATAAACATATTTGGTCCTTTGAGATGTTTCACCAGCATCCACAATCTGTTTTCATTGTCTCCACGTGTCCAGGGACCACAGATGGAAATTTAATATACAAAGCATCAATCAGTATTTGAAATCGATGCTTTTGGCAGATGGTTCCTGACAAATAAATTAAAAAAACAAAACATTTAAAGATCTGAGCATCTCAGATTTTTTCTTTGTTGCCTTGTGGGACGACAGCGTAGCAGCACAGGTGAAAAAAATCAAGCTAATTTAGTCACCGTATGAACAATACAACCATTACAGGAAAAATAAAGTAGAAGTAAATTGACGAAAGGTGTAAATGAGTCTGGTTTTCGAACCAAATGTTCCCGAGAGCTTGTAACAAACAAACAACAGACTGCGAGAGGTAAAATGTGTCCAAGACTTGTGAGGAAAGAAAAGTTAGAATCAAAGAGGTTACACAGCTGGGACTGCGAACAACAACGAGCTGACAGCTGCCAGAAGACTGCAGAGACCCAATTGGCTCAAATGTAGTAAGCAAAAACGATGCCAGTCCATTTACAGCTCTATAGCTGAATCTTCAGTCAACTTTAATGCTTACTGGAGGCCAGAAGAATCCTGAGAAGCAGTGTAATGAGCACACTCTTTCTTTTGCTTGGCAGCACTGTTGTTGTACTGAATAAGCTGAAGCTGAGACCTTTTACTTTGGGAAGATAAAAGAGGTGATTATTGAAGTTTGGTTCTTTTGTAATGAAAAAAGGGAAATTAATAGTAGATTTGGTTTTTGTTCATGCCCGCTGTAGGTTGCTGGTCATAAATAAATTCTACTGACGTTGGTGATACTCTGATTTTGCTTCTAGCCCCTCTAGATATTTTAAATTTTGAGTGAAATTCCTTAAAAAGTATTGAATGAATTGATGAATTTTGCTACAAATATTCATATTCATACTTTGGTAATCCTCCAAGTCTTCATCTACAGCCATCTTAAGGTCAGATCGGTTTGGTTTCCCACTAAATACCTGCAAAAAATGTAGATGCTTGAACAGCAGCGAGAACAGTCGTTAACATGCCCTTCACTTTAAGGACACGCCTTACCCGAAACAATGAAACTGAAGAATATAGTAAATCACTTAGTAAAACAGTGAGAGAACATTGAAAATGGATTTACCAAGCAACATTAGATTATTTGGTTCTGCATTATCGTCCATAACATCGTAAAAGCGAAAACTCCCATATACTGCTACAAACGAGACAGGCAGACATACACAAACGTTGAAGGAATAATGATTTAGTTATGCGGATCTTCTAGACTTTAAAAACGTTACTGGATCGAAATAGATCAAATTCCGACAGTGAAATGAATCATTTCGTGTGAGTTATGGCAGCTACTTCTTTCACAATGTAAGCATTTGGGAAAAACACTATGTCAAATTGTCTTCAGAGTCCGGCACTCTACCTGGGGGTTGTGTCCATTTACTTCTGTTAGACCCTCAGACCGATAGATAGATAACTTCTAACTTCTAACTATGAAATACATATAAGTACCGCTCTGTCTCACACACTCACTCACTTTCCAGCTGAAGATAATTCAAAATATCAGTAGCAAGTACAATGGAAATACTTTCCATGATTTAATTAATTCATTTTTGAGTGCATTATTTGATCTTTACAGATACAGTTCCTTTTTGTTGACTGATTTCTTGAGTTTATTTGAGCAGGAAGTCTCTTGAGTTATGCTATTTACTTTACAAGAGCTTTGAAAACTGTAGATTACAGTCACATCAAACATTTACAAGAGTCTAACCTGTACTTTGTTTCTTCCACTGGTGCAGTTCATGATAACATGTTCCGTCATTCATTATTGATCTCAAAGTAAAAACCTGCTATGTGGAGTTGTGTAACAGGGATGTGTGTGTTTCAGGTGTATCGTGTACCACCTGGAGACCAGGATGCGTAAGGACGTGTGTTTCGGGGTGATAGCATTGACCTGGGTGCTGAGCGCCGTGCTCGCCAGCCCTCTGGCCATCTTCAGAGAATACGGCTCCTTCACGCTGGAGCCTGGAAACACCATACAGGTACATGCACCTGTAACACATGTACAGATCAGTGCCCTCGCCTCCCTCCTCAACCGCCTCTTTGATCTCCTGTTCGCTCCCCGCTGCCTCCCTCATTTTCCCTTCTCTCTCTCCATCTCTTTCATCTTTCCATCCTTCCATCCTGTCCTGCCCTTGCTCCTTTCATCACCACCTCACAGCTTCCTTTGTCTTCACTATTTTCACTCCCAGTTTAATACCAGTGTCATATTCTTCTCATTCTCTGCATAATTTCACTCACACATTGATTTCCTTAATGAACACATCGTTCACATTTTATATTAGCTGCTTTCATTTTCTCCATCTGAATGCAGGTAAAGTTGTATCATTTTTTCTTCGTGTTATAATCTTATTCGATATGTTCTCATCTTGGAATTATTGGTTTAGTTACAGGTATTTGCTTTTTAGTTTTTCAAATCCTTTTATGTGCTCTGCTGATCCGACCGCCCACAGGAAGGATTTCAATTTTAAACTGAATCTAATCAGAACTAAACAAACTTAATCTCTACACTACTAAATATGATGTAATGAATCAAATCTAAAATAATATAGAAACATAGATACCTCATTGGCCGCTGTCTCGGAGGTCAATAGCCGGTAGCTAACAATACTGAGAGATTCAGACTGCTACAAACTTGTCTGTAACTTGCTTAATTCTGAACCCATTTTCATGAAATTTGGTCTCTCATAAATGTGAAAAATTGAGCTTCATACTCGTTGAAATTAATTCAGTCACTATGGGAATAGCTAATTACCTCTATGCCAAAAAAAAAAAAAACTTCGGAACTTCCACTGGGACATACAGGCTGTGTTTTTGTAAAATGTGAAGTTTATCTACAGGAAAAGATAATTCAGGTGAATTATTTTCCCCACACAGTTTTTCTTCCCAGTTTCATGGCTTAGACAGTAATTTGTAGCATGTGTTGATACATTTATTCATTGTTTTCATTCTGTATTTTGGCCAAAGTGTTGCTCTGACTAGCAGTGTCTGTTTCTAGGTTTAGGGTTTGTTTATCCACATGCTGTACATGCCTGCAGCGTTTTTCTAAGATGTGATGTGTGTAAGATGTGTTTTTTTTGGCATAGAGCTGATTAGCTCTGCCCCCAGTAACTCAGTTAATTCCAGTAACCAGTATCAGGTTCAATTTCTCATGTCTATAACAAACCAAATTTCATGAAAATCTGTTAAGAATTAAACGAGTTAGAGTTGATTTGTTGTATTGTTAAATATATAATAATATATAAAATCGACATATATAAAATCGAGAACGCAGTATCTATGTTTCTATATTAATAATATATTATAAACTACATATACGTCCCAACTACATCAGACCAAACTAAGATAATCGATAACAACTTCACTAATTTATACTTGAAGATAATTTTTTATTCTAAATGTATTAATCCAAATCAGGCCAATCAAATAAAAAAATGTCCTATTTAAATTAATGTAGAATAATCTTAACATCTCAATCTTATTTCAATTTATTAATCAAATCTAAATAAATATAAACCAAACTTAAAAAAAATTCATTTAAACTAACACTTGATATTGACTCTTTACAGCTATTTCTAAACTGAACTAACAAGATAAACTAATAAAAAGTAATTAATGCAAACAAATCTACTCTTGTCAATAAAATATTCTCAAGGTCTGAATCTTTTGATCATATCATGCTGTATTTTAGCTGAATGATATTCCTATGAGTTGATTTCATGGTTTTTTAGATCACCTATTGCAAATGCTGTGGGGACTAACTCTTGATTAATACTTGAGAGCAGCTTTGCTGTGTAGAATAAGACTTGAAACTAGAGACTGAGACGATAAACTCATTAGGAAACTGTTTACTGAGCTCATAAATCAAGTGAGAAGCCAGATAATTTTCCCATAACACTCAATACTTTCAGGCTTCTTTTATGCAGCTTTTGGAGCTCCTCCTGCTGGCCTTTAGAAAGAAAGCTGGTTTAAGAAACTGGCTTAAAAACACATTGGCTTTACTCCAAAAACACAAACCGACTATATGCTGTAAAAGGGTACACACCCCTTTACGCCTCACTCTGCCTCTGATTAGCTAGTGTTCATTTGATAGATCCAATATAATTGTTATTTTACTGATTTAACTTTGCATATTGGCCAATACCAATAAGTTCCAGTCTACCAATACATGTACTTAAGCATATACATCTAAGCCTGTATTGATTGCTCTCATTGTTGTATGGTCTGACTGAGGTTAAAACACTTACTCAGACACATGTACTTGACGATACCACAATTTTAGGCAGTATTGGAAAGTTTCAGGGTTACCCCGAAATCCACTGGGCACGGCTTCGTTAAGTCATGTGTGCAGAGCAGTTTTGCATGGGGGCCATGTTGCAGCGATTGGTGGAATTTGGGGTAAGAGCCAACCAGAGGCAGAGTAGAGGCCATTCTTTGGGGGATACAGATGGGAAGAAAATGCGTCTTTGTGTAAATACAAAAATGGCTTATTGCTGGAAAAACCAGCACTGAAATATTAGGGAGAGGGTTATGTTGTGGTTAAGGTTTTGCTGGATTAGGGTACTGGCACCTCTTTTGGTCCACTTCAGGCACCGATCAAAGCGAACATATAAAACTAAACTGAATATCTCTCTTTTATCTCCCAGGTATGTACTGAGAAGTGGCCCGGTAAAAACACAGATGGCACCGTCTACAGCATCTCCATGTTGATCCTGCAGTACTTCTTGCCGTTGTCCATCATCTCCTTCGCCTATGCCCGCATCTGGTCCAAACTGCGCGGCCATGTCAGCCCAGCGGAGAACGTCTGCAACAGCAGTGCCAGCTCCGAGCGCCATCGCCGACGCCGCAAAACCACCAAGATGCTGGTGACTATGGTGGTGGTGTTCGCTGTCAGCTGGCTGCCCTTCCATGCCTTCCAGCTGGCCACGGACATCGACAGCACGGTTCTGGACATGCGTGACTATCGCCTGCTCTACACTGTCTTCCACGTGGTCGCCATGTGCTCCACCTTCGCCAACCCGCTGCTGTATGGCTGGATGAACCGCAACTACCGCGCCGCCTTCCTCACTGTCTTCAAGTGTGGGAGGGGAGGGGAGAGGGGGAGAAGCGGCCGGCTGGACAGCATTCACCCCGTTGGAGGAGGAGGAGGAGGAGGGAGGGCGAAGAAGATAGTGCTTGAAACCCAGGACGTGGTGTCCACCCACTTGAACGCCACAGACGTGTGAAAGCCTGAGGGAGGTGGGAATGAAGAGGGTGATGGAGAAGGGGGAGAGATGACAAGAAAATAATGAGGCGGGAAGGAAAAGAAAATTGACAGGAAATCTTTTGTTCCTCAGAAAACAATAGAGAAGAAAACGAGATTCCACATGGAAACAGAAACAGAGGGGAGATAAAGATGTGAGAGAAAATAGAAACGACAGAGTGAGAGGAAGGCGACTGGGGGGGATTAAAGAGTTTTTGGAAACCCAAAATAGAGGAGGAGGAGGCGTAGACAGGCAGGGATTAGAAGAATGACGGGACAGAAGAATGACTCAAGGCCTCCTTGACCAAACGAGGCACCGCAACTTTGGGGACGTGACCTCATCGTGATGGAGGAACCTGGCACTTCGAGAGGGGGGGGTTTGTTCAAGCGAAATTCAACTTTGTACGACGGATTTGTAACACCGACAAAAGTTTGATCCGGAAAGACAACAAGAGCAGATAAAAAGAAGTGAAGTTCTGATTTTCGGCTGACAAAATTTTGAGAAATTATTGAAAGATTCTACAAACTTTTAATGCAAATCTTGTCAAAATAGGGCTTTACTCCATCTTCATTCCACGCGTGAAGCATTTAGCTCGTACATTTAATCCAGAGTGGCTTACAAACGGGGGCACAAGGACGCTTAAGCAGATTTGTGTGCGACGTTTCGGCAACCGCTTCCTTTCTAACTGTGAGGGATGTGAGCGAAATGTCCGAAACTGAGGCTGCTGGTAACCATCTAAAAAGATTTTGTTAAAAAATTTTTTTTTTTAAATCCCGTATTCTTGAGTTCAGACGGAGCCGAGGACGACGAGGATGCATGATGCAAGCTTTGTGAAATTTCAGACATTGTTACGTAATTACATTGTGTGTTTTTAATGTGGATTATCCTACAAAGAAAGCCGGACGTAGAGGAGGTGGTCAAATTGAAGATAAGACAAAGAAGGGAAAAGGAGGGAGGGAGAGGTCAAATTATAAATGATTTAAATTAAAATGGCTTTGTTTTTCCTTTTTTAAATGGATGAAGGACACTGAGCAGAGAATGGGAGACGGGGCAGATGGGGAAAAAAAGCAATGATGATGAGAGGATCAGTGGTAAGAGGGGAAAGAGTGAAATGTGGGATAATGAGGCGAAAGAAAAAAGTCCCAGCAAGAGGGCGATTTCAAAAGAACAGGCTGCAATTTGGTGTGAAACAGCGGAGAAAAGATCTGTTCTTACAAGCGCAAAGATGAATGTTTGTCACGTTTTTTTTGCGGTTGAGATTTTGCACCTTTTCGAAAAACGTCTCCCAGATCAGTTTGTGAAAGCCACAAGTCATGATATTAATTATTTATGAAATTTGGGTGCCTTCACGCTCTGCACACATTTTTAATACTGCTTCATTTCAAAATTCATTACTGATGTTAATCAGCACCGCATAATAAGATATGGGATTGAGAAGATTGTTCACTTTGAAATAATGCTAATTTCAAACATACCCTTTTGACAAATTTTTAAAAGAGATGGATTTCAAATAGCTACCAGAAGTGAATACTTATTTAGGAGAAGTGTTAACATTCATACAGCTGTTTGTGTCCACATCTGGACATCAAGGGACCTTTTTGGCCCTGAACTGAGCCTCTCAAGCAGCTCTTACTTGCTCATTATACAGACAAAAAAACGCCCGCAGATGCAAAACAGGATCAATTTATTTGCCATGACCTCCATGACTTACAACTAATTCTGGAGACTCTTAAGAGTACTCCAGTAATTTAGCATAATACTCCTGTTACATCGTCAGACTTGTGATATAAAGTTTTTAAAAGCACAGCGTTTACATTGTCCACAATGCAACTCGACCACTAACAGTTTGGTCATACATTGGGGGGTTTTATGCTGGTAATGGCTAATGTAGCCTGGAGCCTGTAGTCTGCCGCAGACTTATACCCTCTATAAATGGTGCCTTTATTGGCCTTTTCCGCTAAAGGAACTGATCGACCCATAACTTATCCAGGTTATGCTTTTGTTTCCACTATTATCCCCCCACTCTGGGAGCAAGTCCCTGAACTTACACTTACCTGCTCAGGAGGTGGTACTAAATCCATGTTCTAGGTACTCTTGGGGCAGTGCCTGAATTGGACCAAAATAAGATGCCAATGCGCTATTTCAGCACAATCCTAATCCCCCAGATAAGATAACCCTAACCTTAATTCTTCTGCAATTTTTAGCCTTTTTAACAAGGACAGTGAAAGTGCTTCTTAGCGTTTCTTAGCGCTAAACTGTTTTCTTAGTGTTAAACTAGCTATATATTTACACAGAGATGCAGTTACGCAGGCAATTAGGAGAACTTCACAAGCATTGCTGTACACAGGGTTTTAGGAATACAGGGGTCCAAAAACTGAACTTGCTAGTGGGCTTTTGGGGCATGCATCAACGTTAAGTTAATTACAATTTCACAACCTTTATTGAATACTCCTAGGAAAAATCCAGACCTTGGTGACCTCAGTAGTGGGTACAGACATCCTCCCCAGAGGTCGTGGTACTCAGTAAGATACTTATGTGGACATAAAATCAGAAAGGCCAGAATGAAGGAACCTTTTACTTACTTAAGTAGTTCCTGTAGTTTCAATAGCGGAAAAGGGCTTTTATTGGAAGTGTTGGGTGCCACACAATTATAGTCACATGCCGTCAGGTGTCAATGAAAAAAGTTCCACCTCTTCCGAGTCTTTTAATTTATTTGCGCTGCCAGACCATCTCTCGCCTCTGCCATCCCATTATGCTCCAGTGTAGGCACTGCCCGACAGACTAAACTCATTAACTGTCTGTGATGAGGGCAATAGACATGCTGACAGCTGTATAGGAGACAGTCAGGTCTCCAGCGGCTCCACTTGTTGCTATCATTGAGTTTTCACACACTTGAACCCTGCAGTTGGGTCTTAACTTCTATGCTCCAAATTAAATTCATTGTTCAAAATGTTATTACCAAAGGTTGTTTCATTATGTGTTTAAACTTTAATTGCCTAATTGTAATTGCAACCCTCAGTCTCCCTTTGGCAGGGGCTGTGTCAACACCGTAATTTAGTGTAAACACAGCAGACTGAATAATGACCTACAAACATTTTTGCGCAGTGTGCATGAACACAACAGCAGCTATTGGTTTAAACTGTTACATAAACCGAAAAATAATACATCAATTGATCAGAAATAGACTAAAGCTTGAAAAACAGTCAAACACACACAGGTGTTGTAAGAGGGGATCAAATGCTCGGAAAATAAAATCCTTCATTGTTTTTGGACTTAGTGTCCATGTACCTCTCTTGTGTTTTCCTCTTTAAATCCCTCGATCCTCTCTGAGTTGCGTCACTGCCTCGCTCGACCTGCACTCCCGCAATCCCTCTGTTCCCTCCCACTGAACCGCACCAGCTGTTTATCTCCGTCCTCGTTTCAGCTCCTTGTCTGTCTCCTCTCCGCTCTCTTTCCCTGTGAATGCATGTCTCAGAAAGCTAAAAAGTGGTGTCTTACTCTAAGGATGAAACGGAGGATAATTATGAGAAATGTCTGTTTCATTTTGACCAAGTGCAGAGTCACAAACAGTCCTGATAGAAAACAACAGCTGCTACATTATGTTGTCAAAAATTACAGCTTCCAATGAGGGATCTCATTTCAAAACAGCTGAAATGTTGTCATCAGTAAGTATTTTACACACATTTGACTGTATCCACCACAAACATCAGTTGTCTCTGGTAATGACTAAAAATTTTAAGAAGTTTAATATTAAACCATAATGTGCTTTAGTTCAACAGCATCCTGAGTTTATAATCCTTGGATTTGAGTTTTACAGTTGACTTTTGAACAGCATTATACTTTGAGTGGAAGCAGGTCAAATGGAGGTGCAGAAAGACAGTTTGACACCATCTGGTTTGCGTTGGATCCCCACAGCTATCCCACAATGCAGTGCATGGATTCGTCATCATCCACCCGACAATAGTGTTGGGATTTGAGTTATTTTGGGGTTGTTAGCGTAAAAGTCTGATTTACTGGAACGGCTTGGATGGACATGAGTCATCAGTGCAAAAGTGTCAAGAAATATCTGCTTCTTTAATAAAAGTCAATGGTATAAGCCTGTGGAACTCTAAGGAAAGATGTGAACAACTCTCAAGGTGCTATTGTTTGCAATCTCAGAACCCATCAGCTATTGTCTGACGCCGATTTAGCCTGTTGGCAACGGCCAATATCTTGGCGCTTGCAGTGTCGCCAGCAGATATCTGGATAACGATATCCAAGCAAATACTTCCTCTTCTAGATGCATTTCGGCTAATCTCTATATACAGATATCGGCGAAGGAATGCAGATATGTTTAAAAAAAACGATAGCCAGGGGCTCCAAGACTGCGTTTCAAGCGATGCATTCCACCTCTTTTGCTCTCCAGACCATATTCTGTCATCAGACTGTCCTCCATTGGCATTAAATGCTGTCTTCAGATCCAATCTGGCTGTGTGACAGCTAATGGGTTTGCTATTTTATGGACACTACATTGGAAAAAGTGGAAGTGGAAAAGGTGGAGAACAGAAAACCTCCTGTTATTCCAACTATTTCCCTTAAATTTGTTAATCTTTTGTTCTGATGATTCAAGTTTCATTTTATACATGAAAAATGAATGTAACTTTTCCTTCCGGATCCACACGAGCAGGCTAACTAACTTACTCGCTAGCTCACTCGCTAACCTGTTATTTAGATCTGTAGTGTTTACTAGCAAGTTACTAAAGCTAAAACTGTTGGCAAAAAAAGGTAGTGAGTTACACAGCTAACTTATTCCCACTGACAAGATTAATAAATAATGGAATTTGCAAAGCTTCTAGACTCAAACGTTGGCTACAAACATTCGTACACTGTGCCTACAGTAGCACTGTGGGACAAGCTTGAAAGTAAATAAGATGGCGTCAAACTTTTATGAAATTCACCTTTTTAAATGCTCCTTGTGTGTAATTCAGCCTGTTTTCTATTTTTGAAGAAAAGAGTTGAACAGGTATTTAGTTTCTCATTGGTGACGTTCTGATTTATTCTGACAAGGTTTGTGATGGGAGGACACAGATGCTGCTCAACCTTTATCAAACATGAATGTAAACTTCTTTGTAACATGGCTGTAATGTTGTATATTGTATAATTTTGTGTAAATATTGGCTCTGTGAAAGACTGTAACCTAGCACAAACTGTTGGCGTTTACCTGTGCCCAACAACAGATGTACTATTCTCAAGCACAAACACGCCTCTGGACTCTTTCTTACTGTCTGTATGTGTGTGTGTGTTTTCGATATCTGTGTGTATAATTGAAATTTGACCAGATTCAGCTTCAAAACAATAACTATAAACTTGAATATCATATGCTGCCAAGGTGCTGATGAACTGGCAACAAACCAGAACATAGATATAAAATACAGTCTATTAATATTTAATTATAACTGTGGGGTTGTGAATTATTGTAAGAACCCCTAATTATTGACTTCTTAATGTCCAGGTGAAATGAAAAATGTAAGTTTAACCCATTTGGATCATATTTTATGGATGTAATATTGTCTGGTTTTGCCTCTGATGTCCACTACCGCTGATGGACTGGGGGGATGTAACACACAGTAAAAAGAAGTCCTTCCTTAACTGCCCGTCTTTTCAAAGGAAATACAAAAATGTGCAGAAGCAAATATCACTCTGATTTCCATGTCCGACAATTCTTTGCAGATGACTTACTCACTTTTGCTGATGGCTTATAACGTGAGACACTCTTATCTGCCATAATGAAACCATTAGTTTGTAAAAACGTTAACGTTTTAATTACTCTTTACTTTTTCATTGGGATGTACACAGTGGTATTTATGGCAGGACAGAGGTTTAATCTCGTTTTTTTTAATCTGTAAAAAAGTTACAAAACTAAAATGTTATTTATAACTATTAAAAAGCCTATAACTGATCCTAGCCATTTAAATTAAAGCAAAAACTATGAATGTCAGGAATTTATATAGACTTCTTTCAGTACTCCCAAGTCTGACTGACTTCCAGCATCCCTGTGCACGTTTACTGCGTGAGAAAATCTGTTAATGGATCACTAATATTTATAGCTACAGTCATAAGAGTGTATTTGCTTTTTCAGACTTTTCCAAATGCCTACTAAACTAGCAGCATGTACTGATTTGACCAAAATGTAGTATGCAAACAAAAGCAAAATCAGCAGTATGCCAAAAACACCTGGATTCATGTACCTATTCGGAAGAAATTCTCTGGTCTTATGTGTGTCCCATAATACAATGCAATCACAATGACTCGTTGGGCCAACAATGCAAAGATGAACACGCCTAGAAATATTTTATTCCAGTTCTGACAATAGATCTTCCTAAATGTTAAGGCTGAAGAATGAATGTATTGAGAGGAGGTCCTCACAGGCATAGGGATTCAAATCGTGTGTGTGTGTGTAGTACTGTGTGTGTGTGTGTTGGTTTCAGGGTTAATTTGCATGGTAGCTGTTCCATTTCAAATCTAATTAGTTTATTCTCAACAGATCTTAATTAGCTGTAAGTGCATGCGCCGGTCTCCACGGCAACCGGAGTATGTATAACTTTGTCTTGATATGCGTTGTGCAAACAGGCAGAGAGCTCGAGTTCAGTTTGTTTTCCAACTGTGACACAGCATGAATACAGATTCATTTCTTTTTTGCATTTAAAACTCAAAGAAACTAAACTTTCTATGCATTTTGTTATATTACGTCAATCCTGTAAGAGTATAATGGTATTGCTTTTTAGATGATTGAGTTCCTGTTTTACTAAACAAACACAGCATGCCCTACTGTTTATAATTGATGTCTGAAATGGATTATACAATTTGGTTCAGCAGCAGATGGTAGGTGTATAATCATCATGCATTACAGAGAATTTGCCTAAAGTTTAATTTTCCAATAGGTATGCAACATTTTTAAGTAATTTTGGCAGCAAATTCTTAAAAATGCTTCTCTTTAATGAAAAAGGCCACTTACTGTAATCGTCTGCTGATATTTCAGCTCCTTCTCAGTTTAATCTGTCCCATTCATTTGGACATAACACTGTCAACAATGTCTAACAAACCAAACAAAGTAACAACACAGCAGTACCAAAATAAGTATACAAACAAAAGTGAAAAATCAAAAAATGATGTGAACTATCATTGTCATTCCTGTTTCAGGACTGACACTTACACGTGTTGCTTTTAAGAAAGGTTTCCTTATGTTAGGGTACCTCCAACACTCATTCTGAGGAATGAAATAAAGGGTTTCCCGTGTTCCACAAAAGACATTTATAGTGCTTATCCATTTAACCCATTTGTGCCTGCAAATGAAATTTTTAAGTTCTCTGGGTTTGCCTAAGCACAAATCTGAAGAAAAGTTCAAGATTGTTCTTTTTTCCCTTAAAGCATAAGCAGAATTTGTCCCGACTAATATTAGTTGTACATCTTTTATTTATATGGACTATATAGATAGGAGACTGTTGCATGTGTGTACTAAAATAATAAAAAATCCCTCAAAAACAGTTTCACTCAATTGTGCCCAAAGACTAAGTACAGTATGATAAGAAATTCGCTGTGTCTCAGAAACTACAAGGCGCACAAACAACCCTCAAAATCAAGAAGGCCTCATGACCCCCTATGAAGCTTTAGCAACCCAGATGGGGCGTCCTGACCCCCAGGTTGGGAACCACTTGTGTTTAGCAACTGTGACATCTATCTAAATATTAAACACAGAACGTTGGACCCATCTGGCAGCTCCAGGTGTGATCCAGTTCAGCAGAAAAATATGCAGTTTCCCACAGTTTATAATTGTGGAAGTTCTAATATGTTTATTTACTCCCACATTTCCCCATCAAGGAGGTTTATTTTGAGTCGAAAGCTCTGAATGTATGAGTTGGGGAGATTTTACTTTAAGTTAAAAATCACAAAAGTGAAATTTCACCACCCATAAGTAACTGCGTAATGCAAAAAAAAGCGTTTAATTATATCATTTTCAGTAACAAAAATTGAAATTGAACATTCTACAAATAGTTTTTAACCCCCTGGGGTTGTCGAACGTGCTGGCACATTAATTTATTATACATTTATATACTATTTTATTAATATATTCCAGTGTTTTTGTGAATCTAAAACTTTGATAAACCCATTACAAGCACTAAAAGAATCGGTGTACATGTGTAAAGGGGTGTTATCACAAAGTCCGATTTTTTTAATTTTTCAAAACTCTTATCAAATTATCTCTGTACACACTGCTCTAGAACAAATATTGTTAATTGTACCGATAGCTGAGATCTTTATGCACATTTTGATATAGAAGACATGGGTGTATCATGTTATGAAGTCCCTTTTTATAGGTAAATTTAAGAATCTATATGAAAAATTGGTTATGAAATAAGTCTTAATTTAATACTGATGCCTTTATACAACCTATAAACAAACAAGAATTACTACACAGAAATATAATAATTTCATTTAAACCAATATGAATATTACTTCAATCAATTATGAATCATTATCTGTGAGAACACATCATTGGACGATCATGCAGAACCATTTCAACCCTTTCACATTTCAATAAAATAAATCAGCTCAGAGTTGAATATTGTCACTTGTGGACTTCCATACACCACATGGTTAATAATTGACATTCATGGAAAAGTGATCAGGGAAAATGAATGAGCAAATACAACTCAGCAACTACTTTCAGTAATATGCTTTCCGTGCTCCGGTAGATCTGCTGAAGGCTGCAAAACTGGGGTTACGTCCCATGTAGAGTTTAAATGACAAGACTGTATGAGAAATGGAGCGGCATATGTGCTTGCTAAGATGCTATCACATATGTAAAGGTCGTTTTGAAACTCTCCAAAGCTAAAAGAGCTAATTAAACAGTTGGAATTCAGCCGTCATGCCTGCAGATTTCTGACGAGGCCGCTAAATTTGTGAACCGACGTCCGTGCGGAACAATTCCACCATGTACGGACTTAATAAAGGCTGAATCACAGATTGGATGACTCATTCGGATGCACAAACTCACACTGAGTGACTCATCCGCACACACGCCCTTACCCACAAGACTCCTACTGTGATAGACAATAAACCTGATCAAACCTAAATGTCTCTTCAGATCCACAGAGGAACTCTAAACACCACAGGACATACGGATTAAGTAAGCAAGGGAGCATTCAGGCACGAAAAACATACAAAAACTACGACATACACCTTTTTATGAGCACTTGATTTGCTTCTTTAACGAGAACAGGTAGAGTTCACCTGATCCAAGGCTCAAGTGTTGGATTTTAGAGACAAAATTAAGGCAAGCTTCAGGGAGAAAACTTATGTAGGGACAGAAATGTATCGTAAGCAGTGATTTCTAATATCAAGGTTCAAACAATACTTCACAGAAAATGTATGTTATGAGAATGAAGTATTCATGTTTGTAGTTAGACAGCAGCTTGCATTCACCAGAGTAAGAGAGCCAACATGTCAAGATTAGCTTTTGAGCAGCTGCTTCTTGGAACACAGCTTCTTTAACATATTTCACAGTTTAACTTCCAAAATAGCAGGACAACAGACAAAAAACAACAGCTTACTTACGGTTACTTATGCAGGAGAGGAGAAATGTCCAAAAACAGATCACTGCATATGAGACATTCAGAGGACTAAACATGCACATCAACGTTTCTCTCTTACTTCCTCATAACAGCAAATAATAGAGGAAGATAAGGATGGGGTGTGGGAGGGGGATTCTCTGGTCAATTCATTTTATTATCATTTCTTTAACTTTTTATTTATTACCCATTTTTATTTGCCCTGAAAAGCCTGACCCTAAGCCGGAGCATAATTGTTACTTCAAGCAATCTCTATGTGATTGCTGAAGGAAAGGAAGGAAGAAAAAAAGAAAGACAAAGGGAAAATAAAGACAAGGAGCGAGCTATTGATTGAAAACCATGGGAAGTAAAGAGCAGGAGGTGGAGAACGACAGTGAATGACAAGGAAAGAGGGAGAGTAGATGGAGAGAGACAAGGGGTCCACACAGGGGAGAAGGAAAGTAATAGCTTTTTTCACTCCATATGTTCCCAGTTGTCTTTAGTTTATTGGATAATGGTTGGTATTAGGGGACAGAGTCAATGGCTTTGACCCTTAAAACTGAACACTGGATTCCAATTTCATTCTGAACTGTAATGACTCAGCCCGGCGGCCAGCGGGAGTGAATTATAGTCTGCAGGGCTGCATTGGTTGGATGTATTAAGGTGTATATTATAGTAATGAAGAGCAATTTCCCATGAGTACATTTTTACGTTGTGAGGGAAGAAATACAATAGTTGGTGGATTGAGAACTGGTCATTACACTGCAGCGAGGTGATACATACAGAAATCTGTGCATGGATGAGTGTATTTTGACATGGCTTAACGTATTGAGACGGAGAAAGAATGGCTTGGCTGGAGGCTTGTGCTGAGTCAATAGTTGTTTTCTTCAAGAAAAAGGAACTCTAAAGAACAAAATAAGGAAGAAACTAGTAGAATC